AATGTCTCCCTCGTGCGAATCGCGGCGTGCTCATAATTTAACGCGGAAAAATCCCGCTGCAGCCGTGCAGCGTGCACATGGACTGCGTCTTCACCTCTCGAGTGGACGTATTTTAAATTAAAAGGGACTATCTCGATTGTAACGTGGTCTCCATCGTGCACGTAGCCTTACGGGTCTCGAGACCCAAGTCATGATGGAGATAGTTAATTTTGATTTAAATAGTTCGAGGCGACCGGACGCAACTTCCGTTTCTTGGTGAGCCTCGAGCGTCGTGAGATGACTCGCGCATGGAGGGTCTTGGCAGGGACTCGACGCGGATTGTTCTGTCTTGACCGTCACCGTCGGAGGGTTTAAAAAATTCAGCACGTGATGATGCACCGGGACGGATTACTATGCTTGGGTGGGTTCCTCCGGAAATGTCACACAACTATTTTTTTGATAAGCCCCGGTTTGTGAGCGTACTCGGAGGGAGGGAGGGAGGGAGGGAGGGGTGGCTCTTACGGTTTGAAATTTTCATGGAATATTCATTACAGAGAATAGTTAATATCACCGAAGTTTTTAAGGAATGACGTTTGGCAGTTTCCATGTGTGATAATTTAAGTATGAAAGGAAGTGTGCAACGCCGCACAGTGGATCGAGCCGATCAGAAAGGTCGGACTTAAAATTTTTGACTTCAAGTGCAAATTTTGAAGTTTCTTTCGTTACATTTTGAATTTTAAGGGATGCTTCTTGAGGAAAATTCCACGAGGATTAATGGAGCCACTTTTAAAATATTAAAGTTTTGTATGAACGGATTTATAAGCTTTTAAAGTTTCCAAAGTTTGTCCAACCTCTCCTATTGACTCGATCCACTGTACGCCGCAAACTGCGCGTGAGATACGCATTTCTGCAGTTTCACCATCGGTATGTGCCGTAAGTCTCCCTATACGTATAGCTGCTTCCGCGGAGAAGTCATAATTGATCAAGTGCAAAACCACGTACCTCCATTGCGATGTTTCAAAATCATTGCTCCCATTTTATTTTTTCGAAGAGAAACAAGTATTTCTACGAAATGTTCTACCAAAAGAGAAGAAAAATTAGAGAAGTTTTCAAGAAATTAAGTTGATTAGTTTTCCTTTTTTTAAACAAAATAAAGAAAATATGACAGGAAGTCGGCAACTTCTCTAACGGACATAAGTTGTTTCGCACTTTGGCCATCTAGTAATTCCCTTTTGAAATTTTCAGTCAGGGTCCTCCTAGACGCTCGGAAAAGTTCAACGTTCGACAACAGTTCGACAACTGCGGAAAGCCATACCCAAATCAAATATTCAAGCCTCCTCGAAGACGTCAACTTGACGGCTCACTAGGTAGGTCGAACCAATAAAAAATTCTACTGGCGCGCTTCCGAGCAGTATTAACACGCGTTTTGTGAATTTTACGAGCGGCGTTGCCGAAATTTAAGCACGGCCACGCACAACTACGGACGGTGTCTGGGATCCTCTTCGGCTTAACTCAGTCCATTTACGAATAACAATTAGATTCACCGTAATGGTGCTGGTGCATCCTATCAATTTGTGCTGTATTTACTGGATGAACTCCGAAAAAGTTAAGTCCGCGATGGAAAATTGACGGCAGATATCTAACCTGATTCTAGAAAAAGTCTAAAATTACGATGAAGTAGTGCCCTAGTTTGACCCCCCTCTCTAGAAAAAGGAAAATATGCATCGCCCCATATGAGAAGAGATAGATATGTTTATTGGCAGCGATTTTCGTCTGGCCGGCGCGGCGCGGCGTAGCGTCGATCCATTGCGTGTTCGTATTTGTCTTTATACTTTCATATTTCGACCTTATCGGTGGAACGGCAACAAATTCTGGCGGTCGTTTCAACAGGCTCCACTCTCGGGGTATCTCAGAATCAAAGCGGGAATCAAAGGGCCAATCTCGGCTGAAAGGGAGAGTAAATAAAATCCCTTTCATGTCTCCCCCAATCCATTCCTTCGCAGGCCTCGATTTGACGGGGCTGTATGATTTCTAACTCGTCTTTTATTTTATTTCATTTTATAAAGCAATAAACTGAGGGGGCTTGGCTTTAAAATCAAGCTCTTGAGTGGGGCTTGCGAGGGAATCAGGCCACTGTGCTCTTGTACGATTTCCTGCTCTAGTTCCTCCTCGTAAAATCGCGAGTCAGAGTGGTAGGTGTATACTGAAAAAAAATTCTCGGCGTTTTTACCAAGGTCCATTGGTACCTTTACCATCTCACTTTTTTTACCAATTATTGGTAATTTTACCAGGACAGACTGGCAAGCTTACCTAAAAACCGGTATTTTTACGGTTTTTTTCAGGTAAGAATACCACTTTTATTGGTAATCAATTCCCGGTAACTTTGCCATTTTATCTCGGTAATTCTACCACAGTCGATAAAAAATATTGGCGTCTTTACCAAGGTCCAGTAAAATTACCGAGAAAGTTCAATAATTTTACCGAGATTTTCGGTAAAATTACCAATTCCATAAATGGCAATTTTACCAAGAAAAAACTGGGATCAAATAGAACCCTGAATTCTTGGTAATTTTACCCTTTTCTTAGTAAATACACCGAGATTTTTTTTTTTTCAGTGCAGAGTGGTAGGTGTAAGACTTTTTTCTGGGTTTTCCTCATGCACGGGTCTTTTTTTTGAGTTGGGAGACATTCCGTTAATGTGTAATTAAATGAGTAAAGATCGATTATCATACTCTATGATATAAAATCATAAAAACGATGCGTAACGCATGATGCCTGAGACGCGAAGCGGTTCGGAGGGTTCGACCGCGGCGGGGCGGTCAGAAGTCGTAGGCCCCTAATCACTTCAAATACCGGCAGGTTAGAAAAGAGGACATTCGAGGGAAGTTAAATCATGAGTACTGATGAAATTAGGGCAATTGAAGTGCATTAGCAAAGGTTATTAATTAATAAATTTTCCTCGCAGGATTGCCAATTTTGTATCGCAATTGGCAAATCCTCCTTGATATTTTTAAATGATGATGCTGCTTTTGAATTTTTGTTAAATTTAATGGATCACTAGACAGGATACGACATTAAGAACCGCAATGTATTCTTGGTATCGAAATTTTGAGGAGGATACGTTATGATGACGCATTAAAACTTCGCTAATTTGGTTCATTTAATAAAATAATAACGGTTTTGTCTACGTCAATGCGCCGCGCCCTTCCCGCTCACTGAAAATATACAGCTTTTTCAGAGAAATGTAAAATTTAGAGCAGTTGACGTTAAAAAAAGCTGATGGGAAGGTTTTTGGGAGAAAGGACAAAATTGAGTCATTTCAGGATTGACACATGCTCTTATTTTGTGTCTCGATCAGTGCAATTGCTCCCGATTTCCTCAGGTAGAATAACACATTACATTGAAATACTGTCAGCACTACTCTACACCCATTCGTGATTTTTCGGTTTTCGGCTACTCATGGTGTGAAAATTAAACTTGAGCTATTATCCGATTTTACAAATATATGCAATGATTGCGACTCAGGCCATGCTTTAACAATAAAATACAATGCGCAAGAGGATGTAAATATATTTACAATTTTACCTTAACATGGTAGACACAGGGCCGGATTTACCGACTTACCGCCCATGGGCCGCCTGCATTTTGCCACCCCCTTCTCGTTCGTTTATAAACATCAATTAAAACCATCAAAAGAACGTGCCGGAGGAGGAGGAGTGCATGAGCTTGTGTTGGACACATTTTTTGCGAAAGCCCTGTCAACACTACTAGCAAAAGTTCACGGAACTTTGCGTGAAAGGTAGGTTCCGTAAACCTATCTCCGTGTGGACAAGGCCTTCCATTTATAAGAAATTAACAAAAATATTATGAAAGAACAAACATAAATGTGGTTTAATAATTTTAACTTCCGCCGCCGAGCTGACCGCACTGTGTTTGGCGCAATGCGTGAAGTATTCATGCAGTCTTGTAGGCGCTATGCGTTTCGCATCGACCGTTCTGACCGCGCTACGTTTGACGCAATGCGTGAAGTATTCATGCAGTCTTGTAGGCGCTATGCGTTTCGCGTCGACCGTTCTGACCGCGCTGCGTTTGACGCAATGCGTGAAGAATTCATGCAGTCTTGTAGGCGCTATGCGTTCGCGTCGACCTTCTGACCGCGCTGCGTTTGACGCAATGCGTGAAGTATTCATGCAGTCTTGCAGGCGCTAATATGTGTCACATGCCGACCGCCGCGCCGCGCCGAGGGCTTCTCCTATTCATTTCAAGTCCTCGTCATCATTGCTCTCTGCGCCGTGCCGCTCCAGACCAAATTACATGCTTCGTTTCTCTCTTAACTCGACTTATTAAAGGTGTTGTCTCATGTCTAGCCGAAAGATAACAAATTTATAAATTACTATACTCTCAGGAAATGAGAGATTTTGTCGCCTTTTCTCGCTTGTAATTTGTTTTCTTATTTTTTTTATACCTATATTTAAAAAAAAAAACACAAAGTTTGCCGCCCCCTAAATTTGCCGCAATGGGCCATGTGGCCACCTCCTAAACCTCCTGGGACAAGCAAACGTTTCGACCAAAACTTTGGCCTTCATCAGTATGCAAAGGAAAGTAGGTACATAGAAAAAAATAAAAAAACACTGTTTGTGCTTATTGCTGTTTAACTACGCCTCTTGTCTTGCTAGCTTTGTTCCGTAGATTCTTTGTTTTTTTCATTCACCATGTAGCAATCTTGTTGTGCTTTTCCCTTTTTCTTTGTGATTATGCATCTTGCCAGTGCTTTTTATTCTTTTCTATGTACCTTCTTTCCTTTGCACTGATGAGGACCAAAGTGTTGGTCAAAACGTTGGCTTGTCCACCATGTTAATGTAAAATTGTGATAGCATCCGCTTGCACATTGCCTTTTTTTATTTATTAAAGCACGACCTGAGTCGCAATCATTGCATATATTTGTAAATCGGCTAATAGCTCAACTTTTTCCCCCCATCCAATCGTGTTTACATTCAAATCTTTTCATGCGAACCACTTACCATTGAGCTCTCGTCAATCGAGTCGAGACCCATGACTGTGACGTGAAAAAAAACTATAGTGGGATTGCCGTCCTTTTTCGGCGGCCGCATTTTGTCGTATAGTTTGGGGTCTTCGGGCAGGATGTCGTTGAACGTTAGGCTGGTCGAGGACCTGAAACAAAAATAAACATTTCTAATTTCGGCGGCGTTTTAGCGAGTATATTTCACCGCACATAAAATTTGCAAACCATTGATACTATTTTTGAATGCGGTTTTGGCCTTGTGACTGTTAATATTAGAAGAAATACGAAGTTGAGAAATTACAAAAGGAGCCGGTGATATAACACCGGAGTTGACCGAAGTCCAATTCAAGGACATATCCTGCGTGACTCTTTTGTTCACAAAAAGAGTCAGTAACCGCAGGAAGAGTCTCGCTGATCATGACCGTGCTTGCAGAATGAAGGATGTTTGGAGCGGCGGAAGGGAAAAAACCTAGCGGTGAGAAAATAAGTTATGAAACGTGTAGGATAAAATAGAATACAGGGAAAATATACACATGACTAAATCAATGAAATTGTATATGAAATGAAATGAAATAAGATAAGATGAATGAAATAAAAGCATCTATTATCCCGGAAAATAAAAAAGAACAGCCGAAAATTTGAGCCGTCGCAATCGAGATCTGTGTACATTAGGTAATTTCATCATCGATACTCATTTGATGATGAATTCTACTATCGGATTTTGAACCGCATAAAATGGTGTATTTCTCATCATACAATGTTTAAATTTTCCAGAAAAAGCTGCACAAAATTAGATATTTAAATTGAGCTGCTAATGAATGCCTCGATAGAGCCCCGGAATCCTTTTGTTTGATGTAGCAAAGTCATAAATTAGAGTGCTTTTGATCGGTAAATCTGCGGGGAGGGAGAGAAAATTGACCAGGACATGACCTTGCTTTACGATACATCCATTAAAATGCATGGAAAAGGATCGATAATGAGAGTGTTTGTAACGAAAACCTTAATGATCGATTTTTTACTATAGTTTTAAATGGGGACTTATCGATAGTCGATTATTCGCGCTTCGCCACTGAAATTGACTGCATGAAATGTTTCGCGGAATAATGATAAAAATCGCTCATGAATTTGTCTGGAATGCATGCCTGCCGTCGCAGCAAATATTGTACGGAGAATTTGCACTAATAATTTCAGCGTTGCGTTGCATTTCGGAAAACCACAGATTTTTTAAAATACCATTTGTTCTTTTTTGTGAGCTCTTATATGATCAGACAACCCGGGAGATAAAAAAATATAGATTTGCGGGTAGAAAAATAACTCGAGCGCATATTTGGACTTCATTTAGCAATATGGAACTACTATTTCTAACTCGCCCACAGAAGCACCTATTTGCACGAGGAAACGCATCGCACGTAGGCTTCTTCTGAAATTAACCAGAAGCGGTAGTTCCATGTGGAAAAATGAAGTCAATTCCACCATGGAAATATGGTAATTTCGCAAGGGGAATCGATGGAGAGCTTGAACCGCTTCATTTATCCTGCCGAACAGTAAATAAAAAATTGATTCAAGTTTTTCTTTTTTTTATACGAAAAACAAAATTGTGATTAAACAATAAAAAAATCTAAAAAAATATACTTGTTGCATTCAACAAAAAAAGGGTAGTTTCGAGCTGGTCCAAAAGTATGTTTCCTCTGGTCAAAACAAAAATGCATGCAAACAAAATTTAGGATGAGAATACCCAATTGTCTAATTTGTCCCATTTTGATACTAAAGCTCTCTAATATTTCTGATACCGTCTATGCAATAATTAAACTCTCTAACGTTTTGTATTTTCAATTCTTGCCCGAGGTATTTTTAATGATCTGCAGGGTCGAATTCAATTATCTGTCAGCGATCAGCCGGTAGACCTTTGGATGAGCTCACCGTGTGAAGATTTAGGAATGAGGGGCTTGGAGGACAAGTCGCATGAGTGCAGTTTTTGAAAATATGAGATATTAATGATTTCAAGTAAAACTTGTCTTAATGCATATTCTGTGAAAAATTCGCTCCCAAATTCCAATTTTTAAGCATTAAAAATCCATTTGAACTTTTTTTCCACTATAAGGATCCATGTAATTTCGAAACTTCAAACGCGTATTGCTCGAAATAGCAAAAACTGCGTTTATGCGCCTTGTCCTTTTATAATCCAGGTTTTTTATTTTATCAGCTTGAAGTAGTTTTTTAAGGACACCGAGCGTCTGTTGAGTACTGGACCACTTAGCGGTCAGTACTAAATAAGGTTGATCTCCTGAGGATGATACAGGGTTATTCAAAAGTCACGCACCACTGGCCATAACTTTAGTTCTAATTATGATATCGACTTGCGGTTTAAGACGTTTTTCCTCATATCGAGGGGGATCCTTTTAGGTACTTTCCACTTTTTGATCCCCTCGGGTAGAGGGGGCGGGGGGCGACTCAAAAATTTCAAATAGCCACCCCCCTCATGGCCAGTGGTGCATGACTTTTGGATAACCCTGTATATTATGACGGGGATGTAGCGACCTTTTCATCCGTATGGGTTCTCATGTTGTGTGCCTTCCAAAAGGCATTCAGTGGGTAAAATTCCGCATTCCAATACAAAACGGAGGTTTCAAACGAAATGGAGTTTCTCGTATAGGGTCGAGGGTCTCATTTTCCGTTGAATGTTTGGCAACTTGAGCTGCTTCTATCGGGATCTCTGTGGGAAGTCCGCGGGACATTTACGGAGGTTTCTTTTGATGCTCAAAGGCCGGGGCTGAGAGGAGATCCGCGAGTTCCGCTTGCCGCGCCGCAAAAGTCATAACCTGCTCGTATCAGCAGAAAGCGAGACAGCTTGGCGGCGCTATGCACAGCTAAGCGGTGTCGATTCTCCGCCAAAGGCCCGGTCAAAGTGAGCGCGATAGAGCGCCCACTGCGTTCATTTCACCCGCGTCTCCAGTGGCTTATATCGTAACAACCCCCCCCCCCCCCCCCCCCCCCCCCCNCCATCATCAGGAAAATCCCTCAAAGTAAGGGTAGAGTCCAGGAAAAATAAGTATGAGCACCTTTAGACTACAACAGAAGATTGTCTGAAGAAGTCTGACGGCAGTTTAGCATTGAAAGTAAATGCAGGAATCAAGATGAATCTTCTGTCGCAGTCTGAAAGTGCGTAAACTTATTTTGCCTGGACTCTAAAAGAACCCAGATTGGAGGAAAACGCAATTGAAAGTTGTTATCCCCGATATTTTCCGGCATTTTCCAAAAGCCCCATTGATGTGTGTAACTTATCTGCCAATTGGAGGCGATCTCGCTGCATCGGTTTTGGCTCCTCAAGATATCATGTCGGCTCAAATTTTCCGAGCAAGTCTAAACGTGTACAACAGTTAAATTCAAAATTTTGTAATCTTCATAAACAGACAGTGGCAGGGTGGCAGAATTTCATGAAAAATAAAATCTTGAAATTTCACTTGAAATATTTCAAGAAATTTCAGGAATTTATGAAAGATATTGAAAAATACCGGTTCCTTTCCATGTTTCACAAAATGTGAAAATTCCGACTTTCGTCTATTTTTGTGTGTTTGAGTGCGGTTTGCATACCCTAGCCCCTGAAAAATACGAAATATTTCACAGACTCATGGAATTTCATGGAATATTTGGACGGAGTTAAACAGAAAGGAACCAAGCCACATCGGGATCGAACCAAGAAAAAGAGGTTTGAAGTTTGTCTCCTGCATAAGACTCAATGTAAAAGATAAACTTCAAATTCTGTTTCTGCAAAATTTGCTCCAACAAAAACTTTGAATTTTTGGCGATACATAGTAGAGCAGTGGTCGAGTTCAAAACCACTCATAACTCAATTTTTTCCAAAATGTGGGTTGGTTCCTTTCTGCTTAACTCAGTCCATTTCACAGCCGCATGACATTTCATGAAATATTCCACAGCATCGTGAAATTTCATGAAATATTCCACGGCACCGTGAAATTTCATGAAATATTTCACAGCCTCGTGAAATTACACGAAATATTCCACTGAAATTTCCAATCTTCCGTATCTTTCTTACGCTTCACGCCACCCTGGTTAATGCAGAAGACGATGCGAAGAACGTGAGATTCTACGGCGTGAAAAGTCCTTCCCGTCTACACCCAAAGCGGCCAAAGCCGTCTCGTTGGCATAACCTCGGCTACGAGGGCCACTCTCGGGGCGGGATTGCACATCAAAAGGGCCTCCGGATTTCGGGTGCATTAATCACCGTGCAAATAGGAGCGAGATCAATCGGAGCCGCGGTGGCGGCGGCGGCTGTCGGATGATGCGAGGCAACTATGAATTATGCAGATCCCCGAAAATTAAGTAAACAACCTAAACCGCATCTCGAGATCATCTTCATCTCGCAGCTCGCGAGTGCCTCGGAGGAACCGCTAAAACGTCTCTGACCCTCCTCCCGGAAATTTATGTTTATCACTCGCTTACCAGGCCAAGTTGCCGGTCGTTTTCGGCGGCACTCGAATAAAAAGTCGCTTGGATCTAGAGTCCAGACTCTTAATAACATTGACAAGGAAAAATACTCTTGATTCAATCCGATTTTTCCTTGGACCGAAGAGCCAAGCCTCTGGATTTAGGCGGATTTCCTTTTGATTCAAGTAAAAAGTCCGATTGAATTAAGCGTATTTTTTCTTGTCAAAGTTTTTAAGAGTCTGGACTCTAGATCCAAGCGACTTTTTTTTTCCCAGGCAAAATAGGGAAGAAAAGAATCGCGAGTCATTTATGCGTCTTTTTTGACATGAAATTAGGTTCAGGTCCAAGAAATTGGTCAAGGAAGAAATATTACTAAGTCCTTTTGGACTTAAAAAATTACAGACAATTTTACAAGCCCACCACCATCATGCCATCTGGACCAGACTTTTATCTGGTCCTTCTGGTCGGACGAAGTCGAGGACCGAATAAGGACTGTGAGGGTATTGATCCAAAGAAATTCAAAGGTTCATGATCTCAAAGCTCCTTGATCCTCTTTAGAGACTCAAAAGGAGGTCCTGACTCTTAAGTTGACGTTTTCGTGACACTTTTGAAGGTATTTTATCAAGATTGGAATTTATGGAAAAGTTTGACTTGAATCAATACCACAAAATCAATAATCGGCAAATTCCTATCCAAAACATTG